TCTATTGCTCTACGTATAATTTATAGGAATCTGGGTAATGGTGCCACTTTGTCCCCGGTAGCAGCGGCATAATGTTTGTGTGTTCTGGACTTTCCCTAAAGAATGAACCATCTATTATGTGTCCACTAAAAAGGGGGAAGTAAAACATGACACTGTATCACACCCTGACCTTTGCACCAGTGGGATGGCCTGCATTTACCATGTACTGTAACAGTGAACACCTCATATGCACTGAAGATCAAATATTCACAGGGCTACAGTCATATAGGCTAGACAGAGGTCTGTTTTGCTGCATTGTGGAAAATCAATAAACCACATAAAGAGAAATTGTTGTTTATGCTGTATTCAAGTTATTGCAATGGAAACAGATACAGTAATACACTGCCTGTGCATGACCCCGTGTGCCACTGCTCATACGGACCTGTTCTAACTGAAATCTAAAAACTAAAGATGACCTGATGATAGTGAAGTAGGTTACATGGTGTAGCCCTCACTGTACCAGAAATACTTTAAAGCTCTTATAAGATGAGGTACATTTAAAAACAACTCGGGCTGAAAACAACATGCGATAGGCCTTATAAAAAGAGAGCCTCAAGTCAACACAGCACTGGATGAAAGAACAGGAGAAAAAAACAAAGTGAGCTAGTGATTGAGTCTGGATAACGGTGCAAAGTGGAGGAGTTATATGAGAGGTAAAGTGTGTGTGTGTGTGTGTGTGTGTGTGTGTGTGTGTGTGTGTGTGTGTGCGTGACATGGCTTCCAGACACAGAGTGGAGTAGAATCTTAAATATCCCTGAGAGGTGTTTTGTTTCACAGTCAGCAGATACACAGAGCCAGGTATGTCTGTAGCTTTACCTACTACATCCACCTCTGTTTCTAGGCATCCACCAATAAGCATAATCAATTAAATTCAGCTAGTTCAACATAGCGTAAGTTGGTCTAAGATTACATTATCGTGTTGGGGAACGTCACTCTCTCTTGCCCTTGCCTCAGATTGTTCATCAAAACTTTGACCCTCTCTATGCAAAAATGCCATTACAAGAATCTACAGTGATGCTAGCAGTTTTATGAGCCTGAACTGTGGTAAATGCTAAAATTTGCATGCTGCCACCCTCACACTGACACTGCTGATATTTAGCAGGTATAATGTAGTCTCTATTTTAGTTCAGCCTGTGAGCATGCCAATATTAGCTAATTAGTACTAAACACAAACAACAAATGAGGCTGATGGGATAATCATTAGCTTAGTTTTGCAGGTATTTGGCCAGACTCTTTCTTGGCCAGGACCAGTTGCTAAGCAACCAGGAAGTTACAGGTCTAAGCTAGATAAAAATCTAGCTCATAACACCTGTAAAATAGCAAAATGTTGTTTTGACACTTCAGTTTTTATGTCATTTAAACAACTACTAGAGGCGCTAGTAGGCAGATTTTGTTAGCTTTGGACAAAGCCAGGCTAGCTGTTTCCTACTTTTCTGTCTTTGTGCTAAGCTAAGCTAACTGGCTGGCGGTTATTATTAGTTAATAGAGAATGTAAAATAAATCCATACCGTGTTGAATTTTGCATTTAATATGCCATGTTTGGTGTATCATGTTTGTTGTCATAGATATATATATACACACACTATATAATGTATATCTATATAGTGTCTTTAAGTTAATAAAAATAAATAAATGCATACTGTCCTATACAGCTACATACAGTAGTGGATGCTTCAATTATATCCAAATGTCCATTTTAGTGTTCAATTTGAGCACAGACGAGACAGAAATCGTTTCATCTGCAGTGTTTGTGTCATCTTCTGACAGCTGTTAGCTAGCGTTAGTTCCCAAACCAATAGCTCAGATCAGTGTGCAGAGTCATTTTTCAGTCTGTCGCTCTTTTTAGCAGGATCTGTAAATCTTAGCTACAGACAGCGAAGGTTATCCATTCTGAATTGCCACAGTCAGTAACGTGAGAGCTCAATCTTTAGCCAAACCAAACAAAAATGTATGCTGGTAAATACATTGGGTACCTCCAAAAATGGCACCCCCATCCCAACATTCAACACAGTCTGACATGCTTTCACATTCTCTATAGTGTCATCCAATTCTTGGCAAGAAATTCAGAAAGTTGGCATAATTATAACAAATCATCCTGTGGAAAACATGAATAGCTATTAAATTTTATGGCAATCCAAAATCATGAACGTAAATAGGCTTCAATCTCAAGGAAACATGTCTGTACAAAATCTGCGTGGCTAACAATACCAAAATGCCAGCTTCTCAGTCTAAATCATAAGACTGTCACTTCAGGTAGTCAATGAAACAGACATCCAGCCATCTCATTTATCACAGCGGTTATCATTCAACAGCCTATATCAAATTAGGAATATCCTGACTATCATGTCTGAACCCACAAGAAGAGGTTTAAAAAAGCAAGTGAAACAAAAAAAAAAGAGAAAAGGTAGCCTCTTTCCCATCATCCACTTCACGAGTAAAGCAGAAAGAGACCAGCATGTTAATTAATGATTTGGTTAGTGTTTTAATATTGCAGTGTGCACAACAGAAGAAAGCAACCAGCTGCCCAGAGGTTTTTCTTTCTCTTTTTTAAAATCAACAGTCAGTCCACCCATGCATGTGCTGAGGGAGCTATCACATAGGTTAGTCATTCTGCACACGACTCAGTTCATTTCATCTAACTTCCATAGAAAAAAAGAAAATCATCACTTCTTTGCTCTTGTTTGGTAGTAAGCAGAAATATTCAAGCTATTTTGAATTGACACCAGCATTCAAGCGCCCCATTTGGCTCCTACTGTAGAAAGGGGACTGAATGGCATCTGTAGGCTGTGCTAAACTGAAGTAAACCTGGCTGGACTGCATTTTTGTCACCAGCAGTGTGGTCCACCACTGAGAAAAGGAAGCTCCATATAAAGAGAAGGAAATGCCTTGTACCATATTAGGTAACAGATTGATTGAGCAATGTTTTCAGTGCATTTTCATGAATTGTGTTTTGATTATCTGGGCCTATATTGTTAATATGTAAAGGCTATGTTGGTGTTTTTTTTAATTTTATTTTATGTAGGCCAATGAATAGGTGGATTTTAATACTGGGAATAATAGAGAGTAAATACAAGAGGCACTGAGGAGCTGATGACACCAGAGTCTCACTGAGAAAACAGTGTAAACACCACAGCATGAGAACAGATGCAGCACATACTGTATATGTGCTTGCATGCATTATGCAACAGGGGCTTTGAGTTAGGAGTCCTTTTACCTGGAGACAGAGGGAGATCTGTGGCAAAGAGGAGTAATCCTCCCCATCCCATGCACATATCTTTCTCCCAACACCAAAATGCCAGAGCAGACAGCAAATGGGAGAGATAAGAACTTAGCCAGATAAAGAAGCATTTGTGGTGAGACGGAGGAGAAGAAGAGCAAGGTAGGAGGAAGGTGTGGAGGGCTGAGAAAAAGCACAGAGGGGAAATCAGATAGAGATGATTGTGTTTGTGTGTGTTGGAGCAGGTCTTGGCTGGTTGTGCCAGCCTGGGTGATGCTGTGCCGTAAGCTGAGAAATGAGCTCGCTCAGAAAGGGTGGAATTAAACTATGTGAGGTGTCAGAGAGTAAGAGGGAAATTGAGAATGGGAGGGGTATGTTAAAGAAACATCAATGACTGGTAACAATAAGAGTCTGCAGCCTAGAGTGCAGTATGCTCACGATGACAGTGTAGCTACTGTATCATATTTTCCTTGTTAACTAGTTGTTTAGTATGCTGAAATATAGTTAGATTTGGTCATGAAACAAAGGATTAAAATATTTAAATGTCATGATGGCACTCAATATAACAATTGGAGGATGGATATAATCTGAAATTTACTGGCAGGGTAGAGCAAGGAAGGACTAATGGGTAAGCCCTATAAACATTAGTCATAGTGAGTGGTTTACAGTATGTGCAGCTAAGGTAAAGGTCTTTCTTTCCCTCTTTCTGCCTTAGGTTTTCCATTGTGATCCCTGACAGAGTGAGGGAAGGGACACTGACTCAGCCATTGTCTCCTCACTGTTTCCGGACAGAGTGAGGCTCAGCAGTCCATTGTGACTGTAGAGAAGAAAGAAAGATCCAGCTTGTCTGCATAAAGACCTATTCAGCATTGTTTCTCTTCACAAGCCACATTTGCAACCCTCAGAACTGCAGTGAAGTCTCAGCACTATCACTAGCTGTGAGCCTTACCCCCATCCTCAGCCCCCTCTCCTCTAACCCCCTTATCCCTATCCCATTCCCTCAGTCCCTCCCTTCTCCCCAGCCCCAGCTTCAGCTTCAGCGTCTGCCCCATTCACAGTCTCAGATGACAGTTCAGAAACATCCGCCACCCTGCCACTCCACACAAGGCTTTTTTCCTCCCCCTCCAGCCCCCATGGAACTTGGCACCAATGTCCATCACATAGACAGATGGAGCCAACCCTGACCCCTCTCCTTGTCCATGGGGACACCAACAGAATCAATGCCTGGCTAGAAGAGAATGGGTGTGAGTGAGTGGGGAGAAGACAGGAAGGAGGGAGGAGGAGAGTATTGCTCTGTCACCACAGTAACACATCGGCCAGTCTCACATGGACTGCCCTTCAGCCCAACCCAAAGCCCTTGGATAAAGACGCCACGCAGC